TGCTGCCCAACCAAAAGGCTTGCCTCATTGCTGGGTTGGAATCTACCAAACCTCCTCTGCAGAAAGAAGGCTGATCAACTCCCAAGTGATTGACAGCTTTGAATGCGATGTACCCCATGGAGGCTCAGCAGTGATTCACTTCTGACTGGACGGCAGTGATTTGAGTGCTGTGGTGTGCCCTGGGCATTTCTGACTCATTGTGACCTTAAGTACAACAAAAAGAATCAGATGGTTGTAATTAGTCAAGTTATGCTTGTGCAAATGCCTTCAGTTATTTCTGTCTATAAAAGTTTAAAACTGGAATCTGCAATAAAGCCAAATGAAGTTTGTTAAATCCTAAGCAACAGAGGAGGAAATTATTAGGTGCTGTTGCCAGCATAGCAGATCTGGCCCTTTCCCTGTCCTGCACCATCTCTTTTTCAGACCCTCTGCCTTTCCCAGCATATGCTTTTCTAAGCACTGGCCCGTGCTACAACATGCCCAAAATATGTGAGATGAGCTTTCACCATTCTTATCTCTAAGGAGCACTCTGGTTGCAGTTTCTCCAGGACAGAATTGTTTGTTCTTTTGGCAGTCTAAACATGGAGAACGGAAATTAATATTTATTGAGTGCCTTTATGTTCCAGACAATCTGCTAAGACTTCTTTGCACATATTCTTCCTAATTCTTGTTATAGACCCTGTAAAACAATGTTCGGTGCTGTCAGCTACGACTCATAGCAACCCTGTGATTTACGGAGCTGAACTTTGCTGTATCCTATGCCATCTCATCATCTTCAGCCCATTGATGCAGTCGCTGTGATAGTCCATCACATTGAGGGTCTTCCTCCCCTTCACTGACCTTCTACCTTTCCAGCATGATGTTTTTTTTTCCATGCCCAAAGTGTGTGAGACAGTTTTACTACCCTTGCCTCCAAGCAACACCCTGGCTGCACCTTTTCTAAGACATAATTGTTTGTTCTTTCGGAAGTCCATGGAATAGTCTATACTCTTCTCCAGCACCACAGTTCAAAGGCATCAATTCTTTTTACTTTTCTTCATCTTTACTCTTTGTCCATCCCTCAGAGGCATAGCATGTAATTGAAAAGACCATACTCTGTATCAGGCACACCTTAGTGTTTTAAACTAATTTCTTAGCATTTTGGAGAGGTCTTTGACAGCAGACTTTCGTAAAGCAATACATCTTTTACTTTCTTGACTGCTGGTACCAAGAGTGTTGCTTGTGGATTCAAATAAGGTGAAATCACTGATGACTTCAACCTTTTCTCCATCTATCATGAGGTTGCCTGTTCGTTCAGTAGTTAGGATATCTTTTTTCTTTTTTTTTAAAAAAAAACAAAACCAAAACTCTGCCTAAGCACATACATAATATTTTTTCCATAATTTTTCCATTCTTAAGAGGAACTTTGCTTAGCAGATAATATCTTAGGGAATGATTGCCCTTAGATCTAGTAAAAACTGAAAATAGCCACTCTAGAAGTGTTCATTAATAAAATTATTAAAGAAAGCTAGAAATATTTAGAGGCATGTGACAAACCTCTTTGAGGCTCATAGTGAAAAGGCAGAAATATGTCCCCACAAAATGTTTCCTGGTGCTAACCTCTGACCAAAATGCAGAAAAGGATATATTTGTTAGCCTCTCTTCTGGGGCTTTTTCAAAATCACTGTGCCTTTGTAAATTTAGGAACTTAAACCAACTCATAGAATATTGACTGGAGCATTCACAGCTGCAAAATATTGGGCCACAATTAAGCTAAGTCCTATAAGAATTTACAGTGATGTAAATTTAGAATATTCACCATCCCAGAACACCATAAGAGAGTAGTGCATTCTGCCTTTGCTATCCTCTCACCTTTATTAACGCTGTGCATTCTGGCTTTCCTCCTCACCAGGTCCCTGCAGTTGCCACTACTGATTTCCTTATTAACATTCGGAAGTTGTTGCCCCATGTGTTTCTTCAGTTTTCTGCAGCAATTGAAACAGTTCTGTTTTCTGATAGAACCTTGCTTTTCTTTTGACTCCTGTCAAAAGAAATTACTAGTTTGACTGGAGTCTCATTTTTTTTATATTTTCTTAAGCTATTCCTTCATTTATTGATTCTTCATTTTTCACTCCAGTTCTTCCTATTGTATCTAGGTCTTATCTATTTAAATTTGTTTCAGGGTTGGTATTTTTTTCATCTATTTTCTAAGGACTCTGGTGGCCTCGTACAATCCTGAAGGCACCGAACACTCCTCAGGAAAAGGGTGGGCAATCTCTCATGCTATTAACTGCCTCTGAAAACCCGCTGGAGGGTCAGCTGTGGGTCAGTTCCGACTTGACGGTACACAACAACAACATATCTGTGGGGTTTTGCTCCCTTTTTTGTTCTTTAACCTGTTACTGTTTAGTGGACAACCTTACGCTTCCTTATTTATCCAAACTTCTTGGTATGGTATTTAAGGAATTACTGTGGTTTGACTCCTTTTGGCTCTTCTAACCCCATTTCCTCTGCATAAGTTTATTAACTCATTGCTCTTAATGATACCTGCTTCCTAATATATATAATAATAATATCTGTGCTGTTTTTCACCCCACAGTTCCTTTTGTCCCACCTAGGACCTGTGTTTTTAACTCTTAAAGAAGTATTTATTTATTCTTCTTGTTTTTAGGTGGGGTCAAGTCAAGTACAATTCATAACAACCCTATGAACAACAGATTTGAGCCCTGTCCTCTCCACTATTTCAGACATAGGCGAGCCCATTGCAGCAGTCACTGGTGTCCCTTGATTTCTTTTTAGTATTTTATAAACCCATTAGAAAACTAAGGACAAAATACTCCTAATCCTACTTTACAAAGTAACTCTTTGTATCTAGGTATATATTCTTGAGGCCTCTTTCAGCATGTGTTATGTCTAAAACTTAATTTCTTTTTTTTCTCTTTTTTTAAATTATTTTTGTGTGAGTGTACCATCAAATCAGATCTGACTGGTACAGGAGGAGATTGTCCCTCCTTCCCCGGCAGAGCATTGGGTGGATTCGAACCGTGCGCCTCTGGGATTATAGTTGCAGCTCCTTGCCGCTAGGCCACCAGAGCTCCCCAAAACCTAATTTCTCTTTGTTTATGTGTAGCGACTTTTTAATAGGCAAAAAATAAATTTGTTTGAGTGTGTACATAGTTTAGCTAAGTAGTCTCTAAGTTTTCACTGCCTTAGGTAATATTGCAAAGCATAACCTTAAAGCTAAATTCTGGACATATTTATGATTATTCAGGAATTGTGTATTACTTATCTTGGCATAGTATCTATTATGGTGATATGCTTAATGCTTTATTAAACACGGTGGGATCAGCTTATGAAAAACACTGAAAGCCAGAGGAGTTTTTATCCTACAGAACTTGATTAGCCTTTGCTAATTACAGCATCCCCTTATAAAAGATGTTTTGGAAAAGTGTGTATGGTTTACAGTTGCGTGTATGTTGTACATAGCGACCCTATGTACAACAGCCCTAAACCCTTCTCTATCCCTTGCCAATCTTAATTGTCTCCGACTCACCTATCCCCATTACCCCAGTGATGGAATCAATCCATCTCATTGAGGGTCTTCCTCTCCTGCACCGTCCCTCCTCCCTCCTAAGCATGATGTCCCTCTCAAGGACTGATCCTGCCATGCAACATGTCCAGAGTATGTCAGACAGAGCTTCACAATCCTTGCCTGCAAGGGGCAACCTAACTTCACCCTCTCCAGGACAAACTTGTTTGTTCTCGTGTAAATCTACCTATTCCTGAAGTTGTAGCTCAAGTATTCCTTTTCAAAATTTAGCTTTACCTATTTAGTAAAAATAGTTACACTGTCATTTATTTTTATATCACTCGTTACATTTTTCTAACAGACCTTATTTCATTACAGTTGCTTTTTTAAAAAAATTGCTCAAATAGTAGAATAACCTAGTGTTCTTTGAGAACACTGTAAAATAGTGACATTTTATTCCATCATACATGCTAAGAACAATTTGCTAACAGAAAAGTACTGCTGTAAGTATGTAATAGGAACACAAAGCTGCCAGCACACGGATAAACCAGCCTGCGTAGTGGTTTATTGTTGCAGACTGAGGGTCCCAAAGAATAGAATAATTTTATAATTATTATTAAAGAGAGAGACAAACAGCCAGGAATGAGACAGAGCAGAGAACGTAAAACAGGGGGTCAGCAGTTCTCCACTGAAGACCTCAAGCCATGCTTCTCTGAGTATTTATTTAGAATCATAAGATAATAAAAGTAAAATGACAAGGAAGTACAAAACAAAGGCTAATGGTGAAGTCTTTTACAGATAAGGCCAAGTTCCTCTTTATGTGAGAAGTCAGTTCATTTTTTTAAAGTTTTCACAACAGCATGTGGCACTCCTCAGCATTACAGATGTTTGTTGGATATGCAAGTGTGTTACATTAAGTATTGGTGTAGGGGTGAATAGCTTTTTTTTTTTTCCCCAATTTTTATTGTATTATTTTTACGTGTACCGTCAAATCATATCTGACTGGTACAGGAGGAGATTGCACCCTCCTTCTCCAGCAGAGCATCTGGTGGATTTGAACCGCATACCTCTGGGATTGCAGTGGAATGGCTTCTTTATTCACTAATTATTGCTCTTACCACTAATGGATAAACAGTTGCATCTTGTATTCTTACTATATACCCTTCCTAGTTCCTGCATAAAGGCTTTGTAAGCCTTCAGTAAATGCTTATTGGATACACTAAATGCTTATTCAATCATGTAAATTAAAAGGGATTAAAAAAAAAGAGAGAGAGAGCCAAACCTGAGGAAATGAAATAACTTACCCAACTTTTTAGAGATAACTAGTAATGGGTCCAGACTTGCTTGCCTCACCTCACAGTTCTTTATACAGTGCTATTCAGAGTTAAATAGTGTAGAATGAGAAAAAACCAGGGGAGGTCTGTAAATTTATCTTTAGTTAGTTATAACTAACTAAATTGGTATCTATAGAATGACAGTATTTTAAAGGCTCTTTTTTCTCTTGGTAAGGTACAATGAAAGGCCTCTACACTGTCTGTGTTGTCCTTTTGGTGTTGGGGAGCTTCTCTGAAGCAAAGTTTGATGACTTTGAGGATGAAGACGACTTAGTGGAGTATGATGATAATGACTTTGCCGAATTTGAGGATGTCATGGAAGATTCTGCTACTCAGTCTCCTCAGCGGGTGATAACCACTGAGGATGATGAGGAGGAGACCACTGTGGAATTGGAAGGGCAGGATGAAAACCAGGAAGAAGATTTTGAAGATACAGACACCCAGGTAATGATTTTACTGGGGAGTTAGAAGGATGGAAACATTTGTTACTTTTCCAAGACATAAAAGTTCTAAGAAACCTTTAGTTCCTGAAAACTTAATTTTATTCGGGTTGATGGAGCTCTCTTAAATGGTTTTGTGGTATTTGAGCACTTTTGCATTGATCATGTAATGAACTGGACCTTCCCCCTTCTATTGAAACTGGGTGAAAGATGGGTTAGAGATATACACAAACTTCATCTACCTGCTTCTGAAGACCGTGTGCTTTCCATTGTATTACAGTATCTCACTCAGTACTTTTTGATCTAAAAATAAAAGAGGGGAAGTAAGTAGCCTTTAGCAACTTTTACATCTCATGAATTGTAATTTGATGCATCAATCTGCTTTGTGATATGAGAACAGTCTTTTTGTATGGTTAATGGAGATGTTGGTGGGAATGTTACCATTCACAACTCTGCCTTCAAAAGCCCCTGTGAAAATGTTTCTAGTTCTGCATTCTGTACTTCTACCTGTGTGTTGCTCTTTTCTGCAAATGCTAGGCATTCCTGCTGGCAGCAGTTGTGGAAGAATATAGGCTGTGTCTTGTTTTTGTAGGAGGGGGACACTGAGAATGAGCCATATGACGATGAAGAATTTGAAGGCTATGAAGACAAACCAGATACCACTTCCAGCAAAAATAAAGACCCAATAACAATTGTCGATGTATGTATACAGGATTCTGAATTCTAAACTTCTAACCAACAAAAAATATTTTGCTATTGTTTGCCCCAGAAATAATAGAACTGGTTATATAAACTGATGCTGATGTAATAATAGCAGGAGCTGGAAAACAGCTTGACATGATAAAGTCTACTGATAAACTCTGCCCCTGGGGAAGCAACTCCCAGAGTTTTCGATCTAGCTGCCCTAGTTTTATTTTTTTTTTAATTTTTACTTTATTATTTGTGTGTGTGCGTGTACCGTCAAATCAGATCTGACTGGTACAGGAGGAGATTGTCCCTCCTTTCCCGGCAGAGCACCTGGTGGATTCAAACCGTGCTCCTGTGGGATTGCAGTGCAGCTTCTTGCCACTAGGCCACCAGAGCTCCCCCCTAGTTTTATTTTTTAAGGAGTAAGTTAAAGAATATATACGTTGAATGTATTTTGAAATGGAACTCAGAACCAAGTGTAATATAACTAACGGGCTTTCCAGCATTTCATCCCACTTGATTGTCCTCCTATTTCCTTAAAGAATCTTTTTGTACCAAGATGGAAATAGTGTCTAAATACTCATGACTGTTTACAGGTTTTTCTCATTCATATCATGCCATAGAGTCCATTCATCAACTGCTTCCATCTATAAATGAAATTATTGTACTTCTTTAGGTGCCTGCACATCTCCAGAACAGCTGGGAGAGTTATTATCTAGAAATTTTGATGGTGACTGGCCTTCTTGCCTACATCATGAATTATATCATTGGGAAGAACAAAAATAGCCGTCTTGCCCAGGCCTGGTTTAACACTCACAGAGAGCTGTTGGAGAACAACTTTACTCTAGTAGGTAAGTTAGGCCAGTGTAAATCCAGTTGCCTCTTTGAAAACAGTCTGGTGAGAATTTTTCTCCCTTCCATCTAAGCATCTAACTGGCTTTGTGGACGATTGAGTATGTATTTTCTTTACCTCCCACCCCCAAGGATCTAATTTTTGAACATAATACCTTTACATTTCATTAATCATAACATAAATACCTAACAGCTTCTGGTTAAGATGAGATAATCAGTGTCAACAAAACAAGTTAATAAAATTCTGGCTAAAACCAATAAATTTTGACATTCTCATTTGCTTGATAAATGCTTTCAGTTCTTTTGAAAAATATTGGGAAACCCTTCAAAATTCCTTCAGCTTTTAGGCACTTTGGTTTCAGATCCACTTAAAAGATGTATGCTAAAAGTTTGACAGGACTTTTCTAGTTGTATGATGAGCATTGAGATGAACTCGCCTCACACTTCTGTTTGGTGTTTTGCACTTTTTTTCTTTTGTGGTAATCAAGTGTTCTCTGTTCTACCTTGCATACAGTGTTTCTTGTTTAATCTTTGCAGCAATCCTGTAGGTTAGACAGTTTCCATTCTCCTTAGGAAAAAAATGAAAGTGTAGAAATGTTAGAACCTGTCTGAGATTCAAACTTAATCTACCTGCTTCTGAAGTCCTTGTTCTTTCCATTGTATTACAATATCTTACTCAGTACTTTTTGATCTGAAAGTTAGAGGGAAAATAAGTAGCCTTTAGCAACTTTTACATCTCATGAATTGTCATTTGATGCATCAGTCTGCTTTGTGATGTGAGAACAGTCTTTTTGTATGGTTAATGGAGAAAAGTGGTTGGAATTTGAGCTTTTTCTACATTTAAAACACAGCTATGAAAGCCTCTGGTAATGCCCAGTTGTCATTTTGCTGTTGGACAAGTGATTTAAGTACAGTAATAAACATTACTACTTTGTTAAAGTTAACTCATAGGAGATTCAAGGAGAGAGAATTGAATAGTTTAACAGTCTTCTACTTCATTGCAATGAGTGAAATTGGAGTTTTTAAGTTTTAACAAGAGATAAGAACAAGTTGATTGTGCCTCATTTTGTCACTACCTTGAAAAATGTATACTCCAAACTCATCAAAATAAAATTAACAAGGATGTAAAAGTAATGCTAGAGAGTCTCTAACTTTCTTAAAAAAATAGATACTACATTTTCAAAATTATAGCGCTCTGGTGGCCTAGTGGGTAAGGAGCTTTACTGCCAAACCACAGGCAAGTAGTTTGAATCCAACAGCTGCTCCTCGGAAGGATGGGCAGTCTCCTCCCATGTGATTTACAGCCTCTTGGGAAACCCCCTTAAGAGTTAGCTCTGATTTGGTTCCAACTCATGACACACATATCAACAAAATTTTAAAAGTAAATTAAAAGATGCCCATTTATTTAAATCTATGCATGTCCCAAAGAGAGTTCTGTAAGATAAACCAATAGTATTGCTACCTTAAAGATATGCTTATTTGGGAATCAGGGAGAGGATGGTGTTGAGTTAGACCCTCACATTTACAGTGACTCATATTAATTGATTTACCTCCTCAGGGGATGATGGAACTAACAAAGAACCCACAAGCACAGGAAAGCTGAACCAGGAGAACGAGCACATCTACAACCTGTGGTGTTCTGGCCGAGTGTGCTGTGAAGGCATGCTGATCCAGCTGAGGGTAAGGGGAGAAGTTCTGGTGCAATGTGTGCATTCTCTTCATCCTGTGATTCCTGATAATCTAAATGCTGTGCCTCATTTCTTCAAATTTGACTGAAAGTCATTTCATCATTAGCAGATGTATTGTGTGTTTGATGAAGCTTTTGATTCCATTCCCCCTCCAAAGAATTTTTGTTTATAAAAGACACACGTTGCAACTTATTTCCCTTGTCTTTTCAGTTCCTGAAGAGACAAGACTTGCTGAATGTCCTGGCCAGGATGATGAGGCCTGTTAGTGATCAAGTGGTATGTATTTTTCTCCTCTGGTTTTCTGAGAACAGATTGAGTTCTCAGTTTTTTCAGAGGTGACTGTATTTCTGCCTAGATTTTATTTGAAGTTTCTGGCAACTTGTCTCATACCAAAAAATAGTCCCTTCTCTGCTTGGACATGTTTTGTTTCATTTAGTGCATAATCACATGAGCAGAGGAAAGTGGTTTATATTAAGATATATCTTCTTCTATGTACTGATTGTTCTTTGATCCAAACATTCATGTTACTATTGACAAATAGGATTCCGTTTTTATCATATCAAATGATTTAGGTTTATAATTTTATCCCTCTAACCCAATACAGAATGCTAATGACTGTTCACATGCCCATTGTATTGTCTATTTTTTTAGATTTACATATGCATACGTGAACCTACATAGTGCTGCATGACAAATTACCAAAACCTTGTAGTGAGACTAAAATCAAGGTGTCAGATAGATTGTCCTTGGAGCTGGGGATACTATTCTCAATGTCATTTAAGTTGTTGCTGAATTCACCTTTGTGGTTATAGGCCCCTATGTTCTTGCTAGCTGTCGTCGAGGAACCACATTTCAGCTCATAAAGGCAGCATTAGATCTGTAACTTAATGGCCCCCTCCATAGACCCTCTAACATTTCTGTGCATTTAAATAAGTCCCAGTCTCTTAAGAGCTGAGCTGATTAAATCAAGCTAACCTCGGATATAATCTGCATCATGTACCTCAGGCATGTTCCTAGGAAGGGCTGTTCCTTAGAGAGGGACATGATGCTCCGAAAGGTAGAGAGTCGGCAAAGGAGAGAAAGACTCTTGACCAGGTGGATTGATACAGTGACTGTGGCAGTGGACTCCACTGTGTCAGGAAGTGTGAAGATGGCACAGGATAGGACAGAGTTCAGGTCACTATGGGCCATACTCAGTTTGACAGCACCTAATTACAACAACAACAACCTAGGATATTGTCAGTTTTGGTTAAATATGCTGTGTGGTACACCTTAAGCTGGGAGTGATTTCCCATCGCTCATAAGTCACACCCACGGAGAAGAATGTGTATACCATGGCTAGAAATCTTGGGGGATATCTTAGAGTGTTTCTGCCTACCATAGGGCTTAGTAGATAAAGGGGTTTTGTTCCTTTTTTTTAAAGCAAATAAAAGTAACCATGAATGATGAAGACATGGATACCTATGTGTTTGCTGTTGGCACACGGAAGGCCTTGGTGCGACTGCAGAAAGAGATGCAAGATGTGGTATGTGAGGCTTTTCAAGTCCAATTTCTCTAGAAATGGTGCTCCTTTATTTTGTAGATCTTTAGCTCTATAATATAATTGTCTTATTTAAAGATTGAGCACAAACAGACCAGTTATATTCTCTTTGGTTTAAAGAAAAAGTCTGTGCATAATAAAATAGCCGTGTCTTTAACTTCTTCCTTTAGAGTGAGTTTTGCAGTGATAAACCTAAGTCTGGGGCAAAGTATGGGCTACCTGACTCCATGGCCATCTTGTCAGAGATGGGAGAAGTCACCGAAGGGATGATGGATTCAAAGGTAAATGGAATAGAAAATATTTTTCTGTAGGTCTTGGCATTTAGGACACCTTCTCTGAAAACCATATTGTACAGGCTCTTCAGTTTATGACTCTCTCTCATAACTAACCTTCCTTTGGGTTTCAGAGGCTGTAAATGACAAGGGAAGAAGATTGGGTTCGCATTGTACCAGCCCGTGATCAGGCTGCCAAAGCTCCCATGGTCGTTGTTAGGACACTTTACCACTTATGTGTATCTTTCCTATGTGAATATGAAAATATTCTTTAAGTAATATTTTAAATTGTCAAAAGACAATTTGATTAATTAGAAAGTCTTTTTTCCAAACCCAGGGCAATTGTTCTTGTGATTGATGGTGGCTTTCAGGGTTTTTTTAAAAAAGAAATTGAACCTTAACCCTTTTCACAGTGTTCTTTCCTCCCCTTTTTTGGGTGCTTTAGTTGGGAATAGTGGAATGTATAAAGATCCCTTTCTATTGGTTATTAATAGTAACAATGTGTCTTAATATAAAAATACGGAATAGCTAAAAAACCCACTGGCATTGTGTCAATTCCAAATAGTAGCCCACAGAACAGAGTAGATTTGCTGATAGGACTCCCAGAGCTATAAGTCTTTTCAGAAACAGACTTCTGCATTTTCCTCCCTTGGAACAGCTGCTTGGTTAAAAGCTCTGAATTTCTGGTTCACAGTTGAGTGCTTTAACCCCTGTGCCATCAGATTTCAGGATTCCCCTGTGCCATCAGATTTCAGGATTATCTGTTTATAAAGACTCCTCTGAGATTATTTTCGATTTTTATATGTAGTCTATTTTTATCATTGTTTGTAAAAATACAACATTATAGAGGTTATACCAATTCAGCAAGTTGTACTGAGTTTCCTCTCTGATCTTTCATGTTGTTAATGTCAATTTGATCCCATGTAGATAGAGCTTAACAGAGTACAGTGTACAGCTGCAATTCTTCATTCAAAAATGCACAAATTTGTAGTTGACTCTCCAGCGAGTTTTTCAGAGGCAGTAATCACACAGAAGGAGGTTGCCCATCTCTCCTCACGGAACTACTGGTAGATTTGACCACTGGAGAGGCGAAGCCTTTAGGTTGGCAGTGAAATTCTCTATGGACTGCAACCAAAAGTTTCGTTACTGTTGTTTGTTACTGTTATATACTGTTGAGGAAGAACCAGGCTTTTAGCTGCCCTGCAGCAGGATATCAGAGGCAGGAAATCATGAAGGAGTTATTTGCCATCTTTCTCCCTCAGAGCAGCTGGTGGGTTTAACCATGTACCTTTGGATTAGCATCACAATTCCTTCACTACTAAGCCACCAGAGCTCCCTAATTCTTCACTAATTAGGCTAAATTATTGTTTGGATAAGAAGGCTTCAGGGTCTATTTTTGTTTAAGGTTTACAGGTTATCTCAGGGAGATAGTTTCAGGGATTGATCCAGCCTCGTGGTTCCAGAAAATCTAGATTGCATGAAAATTAAAAAATTTCTATTTAGCATTTTCCACATCTTAAGAGATTTTTCTATAGACTCTTTGATCAGAATGTTCAGTAATAGTTGCCAAGCACTGTCTAGTTCTTGTTACATTGTAAAGGAGGCAGTTGTTCATGGAAGCAATTAGCCACTTATTTGCATTTCTCCTCCTATTCCTGATGTTCTGTATTTTTATTATAATACTCTCATTCTGGTTTAGCACATTACCATCATCCTTCCATATACATCAGTGATTTGTTCCAAAATCCCCACAGATTAAAAATTTAGTAAATGATCAAGTCCATTATATAAAATGGCATCTTGAGAAATAGAAATGAAAATTATATACCAGATAAAATCCATCTTGGAAGGTTAGCAGAGAAGAGAAGCCAGGAATGGGAGGCAAGGGAATACACTTTCCTTGGTATTGCAGTAGTCTTCCTCCCCCACTGCTCCTGTAGTCCCTTCTCCTTTCCCCTTTTTCTTTCCAAATTAAAAACCCCTCATTGTCGTCAAGTCAAAACCAATTCACAGCTGACTCTCCATCAGGTTTTCATAGGCTGTAAATCACACTGGAGGAGATTGCCCATCTGGCAGTCTGGAGCAGCTGGTAAATCTTGAGAGGTGCCTCTTTGTTTTACAAAGGACTTCTGTGGGCTGTACCACAAGAGCTCCCTTTACAAATAAAGTTCCTATAGCCTCCCAAACACTTTAAATCATCTCTGGTAATTTATAGATTACTTATAATACATAACCCAATGTAAATGCTATATATGTAGCACTTTACACACCCTCTTAGCCTTTGAAGGAAGGTTTTGACCATTTATTACCTTTTAAAAAATATCTTTCTGGTTCATAATTCATTGAATCCCTGAATGTGGGCCCTGCAACTGTGGAGGGCCGACTGTATTTGGAGACGGATTTTAAGCTTCTCATTGAGAAAGAGCTTAATCATTGTGACTAGAGAAGGTCACTGGTTTCATTTTAGTACCATTTCTTTTAAAAAACCCAGAACTGGCTTTAATGATATTATAGAAAAATAAGAAGAATTAAAGAGTATATATTTATGAGAAAAAAGAAATATCTAAAATTTCACTTGAAAAATAATTTTCTTTTCCTTTTTCAGATGGTTCATTTTCTTACACACTATGATGACAAGATTGAATCCATTCATTTTTCAGACCAGTTCTCTGGTCCAAAAATTATGCAAGAGTACGTATGAGATAAAGATACTGAAATTACATCTTCTTACTAGCTTTCTGTGTTGAAAACCTCCAGGTTCTCGTGCAGTTTCCCTTACCAGATAAGTAAGGCAAGTGGGTGGCAGGACTCCAAGTTTGCCTTCGCTTTGGCTGCATGCATCATGTAAAGTAATTAAAAACCTGTAGGAGGCAAACAGATGAACTAGCCCAGTTAATGTCCCTGGTAAGCATGTGCTTACCATCTCAGTGCAGTGGGTGAGAATGGCTGTACTAAGAAAGTACAATTGCTAATCTCGTTCCCTTGAATGCTCTAGGTTCTTCTTCCTCACTTAATTTAGGATGTGAATTTATGACGCTTAACTTGTGTTTGACTCATTGCAAATCTGTATGTTTTAAAATTCATGTTTTTTCCTGGCTTCCTTCTATGAATATGTGTCTTTTCCTAACATTGTCAGAAGCCCTCAATGCCCATAGTGTTTCTGGCTATTCAAGTGTGTGCACTCAAGGTGTGCATTTGTTCTTTAAATTCACAGCCTGTGAGAGCTCAATTTCACAAAACTTCCTCTTGGTCTGACCTAAATTTTTCACTTATGAACTACTTCTCTTAGGCTGTGGAATAAACCACAACTAAAAAACAGTCTAAATTTTAGTTGTCAGATGTACTCAGGTTTATGTCTCTAGATGATATTGCATCATCCTTCCCTTGTACAACTCAGTAGCAGCTCTGGAGGCAAAGTATCACATGGTGACATTTCTTGAGCCTTCTGTGTGTAAGGATGAGGAGAGCTAGATAGAGGTTACAATGAGTCTTTGATGACAATCAGAGACAAACAATTATAGTTGTTATTAGGTGCTGTCGAGTCAAGTACGACTCATAGTGACCCCGTGGACAAAAGATCTGAACGCTGCTCTATCTTGTGCCATCCTCACACTTCCTGACACACAAAAGCCCATTGCAGCCGTCACCATGTCAGTCCACCTGGCTGAGAATCTTCCTCTCCTTCACTGACCCTCCACTCTTCCCAGCATTATGTACCTCTCCAAGAATAGGTCCTCTTAGCAGCATGTCCAAAGTATGTGAGCTGAAGCCTCATGATTCTTGCCTCCAAAGAGCACTTCAGCTGCACCCTCTCCAAGACACATCTGTTCTCTTGGCCGTCCATGGGATGTCCAGTGTTCTTTGATTAGCGCTAAATTTCTTTTTAAGAATTAAAATGTTTTATTACAGAAAGATAGGAGTCAGAAATAAAACTGATTCCATCAAAATAAGTAAAATTGTCATTCAGAATATGGCCTCCATAGATAGAGACTCATTTGTGGCTCATCTGATGAGATGGACTATATCATTCCTGGAGGGAACATCTCTTGGAGGTTTTTAAATATGGGTAAAGATCATTTGGAAAAATTGTTGCAGAAGGAATGAAGGCCCTTATTTGCGTCAGGTGGCCTGTCAAGTTCTTTGGGCTTTGAAATTATCTTTGAGTTTGGGGATGCCATATCATGCATGCTGATTATTTACAGCTATCTCTTCATCTGAGTGAACTGAGTATCTTATATAATTGGAAAATATCTTTTTTGGCTGCTTTTTTGAAACTTTCTCTTTTGTGGCAGGGAAGGTCAGCCTTTAAAGCTTCCGGACACTAAGAGGACACTATTGTTTACATTTAATGGTAAGTGTCTGGGTCATGTCTGGGTACTTAGTTATCTGTGTAATAACCTTGGAGTATTGTTCTCTGTAAAGGATGGCTGTAAAGTCACCCAGTGCCTGCTTAGGAGTTCTAATGGCTTAGTGGTAAGGTGTTCCACTGCCAACCCAAAGACTTGTGATTTGAATCCACTAGCTGCTCCGTGGAGAAAAATGGGCAGTCTCCTACCATGCAATTTACTAACTCTAAAACCAAATGAAGGGTCAAATATAAGTTGATTCTAACTTGACAGTACATAACAACATGCCTATTTACTGATTTCTGGGTTGCTTTAAAGAGAGAACCTTTTCCATATATTTAAATTTCTAATTTCTGCTGCATTTTAAATGCCTAAGGAGTTGATCATTGTTGAGTAACTTCGAGTCAGAACTGACTCTCCAGCGGGTTTTCAAAGGCTAAAAATCTCACGAGAGATAAATTGCCCATCTTTCTCCCTCAGAGTATCTGGTAGATTCGAATTTCATACATTTTCATTCACAGCACAGTTCCTTACCACTGAGCTACCAGAATTCCCTAAGGAAGTTATAGAGGGAATTTTTTATGTTTAAACAGAAAAGGAAAAAATTGAGTAGCCCAGAAATATTAGTCCTGCTGCGAACTCAATAGGAAAATGACTTTGTTTTCCAGTGCCTGGCTCAGGTAACACTTACCCAAAGGATATGGAGGCTTTACTACCCCTGATGAACATGGTGATTTACTCTATTGATAAAGCCAAAAAGTTCCGACTCAACAGAGAAGTAAGACCCAAAGCCTTTCTTATAATTTGGCATCTTTTACTCTTATTTTGTTTTCTGGGGCTCAGTTATTATTGATTTCAGTGAGTGCAAATGGTTAGTTGACTTGAAAGTACCAAATTTTTAGCAGTAGTTTTATGAAAGAATGATTTTTTGCCTATTAGAGATCAATTAACTTCTTAAGAAATGCTTTATTTCTTGGACAAAGGGCAAGCAAAAAGCTGACAAGAACCGCGCTCGAGTAGAAGAGAACTTCTTGAAGCTGACTCATGTGCAGAGGCAGGAAGCTGCACAGTCTCGACGTGAGGAAAAGAAAAGAGCCGAGAAGGAGCGGATCATGAACGAGGAAGATCCTGAGAAACAGCGCAGGCTGGAGGTAAGACCAACTTCCTCATCCCTCAAGAAACAGGGACTTACAGAGATTCCTGATAGGAGAATACTAGCTGTTAAGACAATTCTGTGCAGGATTGCCTAAAAGTTAAAACAAACTTTCCATAACGTTTAAAACATTTTTTCATTGTTAGCACTTCAGAGATGAATAAGGAATCTTTGCTGTTGAGCTCATGTTTGAACAAGTCTGTGAACCTGGAGAGGGATGTGAATTGTCCTGTTCCTCCCAACACAATCCTATTTCCGTGGCCCTCAGGCCTGTTTTTAATTGTTTTTCAAACATTTTTCTAGGTCGTATAGCCCTGATTTGTCCACTTGCCTACAAAGGTAACTCGTGGTTGTTGTGAAGCTGAACACTGTGACACTGATGTGTCAAATGCGATAATGGTCACCCATGGCGGACAGTGTTTGGTGGAGCTCCCTGATTCAGACAAGCTTGGAAGCAGGAGTGGCATCCACTTCTGTAATAGCTTGCCTCCAGAAACCCTATGAACCTGGAGAAAGGATGAGAGTCACACAGGTGTTGAGGACTTTCATTCATAGGGACTGCCTACGACTCAATGGGTTTCAAGACATATACTTTATTGAGGTAGAAAGAAATTGAGGATTTTTTACAGAAGGCAATACATGTATCCTATAACCCAGATAAATGTCATATAAAGTCTAAAATTTGATTCTTGAATTAGAATTCTAAATTTATTAAAAATTAATTTTATTTGTATTTTTGCTTTCTATTTCTACATAACTAGCATCTCAAATGTAAGAGCTTTTTAGACCGTAGTATGTATTGCTTCAAACAATGTCCCAGTGTTTTTGTGATGTTAGATGCTGTAGTTCCTCAGCTCTAAAGTTTTAACCCATGTAAGGTCTAGTAAAAAAGGGGAAGAAAACAAAGCTTTAGGAGGTATGAATTTTGATGGGAGTGATTGTGAAAATTCTCCGATCTGGAAGGGGAAAGGGGAATTTCTAGGCAGTTTGTCTTTTAGTGGCTCATTCCTACAAATGATCTGGCCCTTCCTGCCACTGTTAGTGTAACTTTGACATCAATGATTTTACTGCTTGCTTGCTGCTAAGCCCTCACAGAAAGCAGCAAACTGTCAGAGGACGTAGTTCCTTCCTGCCTCTCTGAATCCACACCCAGAATGCATTTTCCCATAAAAGCAATGATGGCTTAGTTCCTTATGCTACGTAGACAAAAGCACAGCTATAGGTAAATAACAGTTCAGATTTACTCTCCTGTGGAGTTGGCTAAGTTTTGTTACTGACTCCAGGAACCAAACCACAGCCAATGGTTTCCAAATCACCAGTTGACAAATCACCCTCTGAAATAATTTGTTATATCAGAAACTACACATTTTGCGTGTGTGTGCACCCTTTGAGTTTCACCTTCAATGTCCTCTGTTCTGTACCAGTCAAAGGGTGTATTTCTGAAGACAGTCCTACTCCAAGCCCTTGGAAAAAAGGAAGTTTGAGATAAAAGCTAAATAAGCTTTACTCAAGTGACTACCTTTTTTTTAATACAAAAAATTCTCATTTTATTAAAAACAGAACAACAATCATACACATAAATACTTATATTAAAAATATATCACAGCTTTGTTGTTGTTGATTGCCTTTGAGTCGAGCATGACTCATAGCGACCCTATGAACAAAAAGCCTGAAGCCTTTCGATAACTATCAACATGTATCAAAGTTCATAGTTTCCAGAGGCATTTTGTTTAGGAAGTAGATGCCACACCTGCTTCCAAACTTGTCTAAAACTGGGATCTCCACCAAACACTGTCCACCATGGGTAACCCGTATGGTATTTGACACCCCAATGGCACAAGGTTCAGCATCACAGCAACCCCAGATTACCTCACTACAGTATATTGACAGAAGAGTGCTGTACCACAGCACTGTATCACAGCTTTATGAATAGAGATACCTTATGTCTTCTGTCTTCTTTGTATCATTGATTTTCTCTTTACTTGATCTTGTAATTTAGAAAAGAATACTTAAGATGATTTTAAGGTCTTGTCTTTTCCTTCATCCTTCAATAATGATGCTCTGCCTGCCTCTGTCAACTGTTTTCATTTCTCTGAGGCCACCGCTTTGCTGGTCCAGGCGGCTCTTCTCTAGCCATTTCCTGTACTTTTCCTTCTCTTCTTTATTTTCATATGCTTTTGATATTTCTTTCTCATTTCTTGTTTGTATCTGTTTTCTTAGCAGCTGTTTGTTTTTTGTTTTTGTCTTCAGCTTTATTTTTTCCCCTTGATTTCCTCTGGGCAAGGAGTGCTGCATCACTCACCCTTACTGGCACAACCGCCTCCGTGACAATGACTGGCAGATTGGACACGACTTGAACCTCAGGGGCAGATGGTTTAGGAATAAAATGGAAGTGTGAGAGGGCATAAAATTGGAGGATGAGAGACTCTTCTGAACTTCTAAGAGCTCTGGAGTTTCCTCTTCTGTTGTTTTTTGCTAAGTGAACTTGAGCTATTCCTGTTCATGAATTTCAGCTAAGCTCAGTTTACTCTTCTCATGATTTAGTGTTAAACGTGTGTTGGGTTTTTTTTTTCATATGCATCCTTCCTAAGCTTTTCTTTACGTACGCCATCATCCCAAATCTAATCTTTTATTCTCTGGTTATGAAATCTTTAAGATTAAGGGTCATTTCCTCTTGTAGTCACAAGTGCCATCAGAGCAGCATGGTTGCAACGGAGGGTCTTCTCCAGAAGGCTGTTTTCTGGTCTTTTCTGTGCTGTCATGCCTTTTCCCCAACAGTTCTAAAATGCAATTATTGTATTCATCTTTTTCTGTCATTTCAAAAGACAGTTTCATTTCATCAGAATCTTTCTTTATACTTAAAATAAGTTATATATTCAATTTCTTCATCATCTGGCAAACCAAAAGTCACTCTTTTCAAACCTCCTTTATATTATTCACTGTCTTCACTTCTTCAAAATCACTACCTTCACCCATTTAAAAAATGCTTTCTTCATCTTCCATAATTTCTCCTTCATTTGAACTCAGCTCATCATGACCATTTGCTAAGTCTTCATCACTTTCAATTGGATTAAAGAAATCTTTGTATGTCAAGTCTTAGAACTTTTGCCTGACTTAAATTTTTTACTTCCACACAGTCCTCCCTCATCCTCATCAGAATCAGCATCTTCAAAAAAATCAGTATTGGGGGGACAGTATGGGTAGGGAGAAAAGTACAACAATGAATGACTGGAGACCCTAAATCTCAGTAAACTTTTATTAAAAGTAATTTAAAAAAAAAATTTGTACCTTCTTCCTTGGGATCTTTTTCTTCTTTTTCCATCCTTTCTTAAAAAGGTCTCCATTTCAAATAGTTTAAAGAATTTATCTTCTACTCTTGACTTTTGGTTTCCTAGGCACTTTGTTTTGTACCTTGCTCTGCTAGTCCAGTATGTTGATAACAAAGTCATGATTTGATTCCTCATCAGTGAAATCTGGGATTTTCTGCATGTCAGTTTTGTTAGGTTAGGTTCCATACTGTCCTGTCGTTTAATATCATCACCACTTAGCACCTCAAGTCTTGCCCTCGGTCCTCCTGCCTAGTGGACTCCATCTATGAGCCATCCTCTTCACAGGCCTGCTCTGCAGTCTTTAGAAGGCTGATCTCATTGTTTTGTTAATTGCTTTCTGGAAATACTGTAAAATGGGTTCATTTTGCATTTCCAGTTGTTGCCAAATCTCTTCATCATCAAAATTATTGATTACCAGTTTTTTAAAATGACTCCCACAGATACTCCAACTTTCCGTATTCTATCAAAGTCATACTTTTGTTAAAGAGACAAGTCTTGAATCCCTTTCAGCTGTATCCTCGTTAGCTGCCCTCCAGTTTGTTAGAGGCTGTCTCATGCATCCATGTTAGACACCCAGGAATCAGCAAGAACTCATGGAGAGCCCCAAGTGACCATTTAAGTCATACTTTGGTCTCTAAGGCTGCCTCAAAGGGGTAATAAGAGTAATGACCGGTGACTTTTGCTATGAAAGTAATCTGGTGGCATAGTGGTAAGAAGCTGCACTGCAGTCTCAAAGGCAGATGGTTAGAAACCACCAGCTCTTCCATGGGAGAAAGATAGGCAGTCTCCTCCCATTCAGTTCACTGAATCTAAAAATCCGCTGGAAGATCAGCTATGGGCTAGTTCCGACTTGACCGTACACAACAGCTGCCATCACAAAGATCCCAACTCATAGCAACCCTCAGTCAGGTTCCCACAACTTTATGGAAGAAGTTGTTTTATTTTTTTTATTTTTTTTTTAAGAAGTTGTTTTATACTGTCAAGTCAGAACTGACCAGAGTTGACCCTCCAGCAGGTTTTCAGAGGCAGTTAATCACAGAAGAAGAGCTTCCCCTCCTTCTCCCGTAGAGCAGCAGGTGGCCTCAAGCCACATCCCTTCAGGATTGCAGTGCAGTTTCTTGCCACTAGGCCACCAGAGCTCTTTATGGAAGGAGAGTGCCTGTCTTTTCCCCATGGAGTTACTATTGATTTCAAACTACCAGCTTTTGTTAGTAGCCAAAAATGTTAGGCACTTTGCTTCCGGGGCACCTTCTATTTATAACCTCCTAATTTCTTGTTAAAATTATAACAATTCCCAGTTGCGTATTATAAATTGAAATACTGTGCTCCTTTATAACATCTATGCTATGAAGAAGGGGTTTATAGTTATTCACCTGATTAAACAAAGTTCTTGTAGGATTTTGGCCCACAATCAAGACCTGCAGTTTGATGGAGCTGCTTAATTTCAAGCAGAAACCTAAAAAAAATGTCTCCTATGATCTGTTAGCTATTTCAGAACTTTGGAAATATAACAGTCAATTCATTAGAAAGAACCAACTAAATTTAAAACTAATTACTTTTTTAAAAATCTCTATTTTTCTAGAGTATAATCCTTGGCAGATATAAAAATATGTGATGAAAGCTAGGCTAGTCTTAGCTGGTTGTAGGAAAAATCAGACCATGACAAAGCCTAGTTAAGGCTTGTGTTTGGTTTCTTTCTGAATTTAATTACTTTTGCCTCATTCCAAATTAGTTTTCATTCACCAGCATAATTACTCTATAACTGTGCAATTTCTATACTGTTCTGAAATAGCATTGATGATACAAGCCAGTGTTTCCAAATCATAATGCAGGCTATTCTAAAACTAGGTGGTTTGTTTATTTGTTCTTAACGTTTACAGAGAACTTAGTTTTGAGTCTGTCTTTCTAGGAAGCTGCTTTGAGGCGTGAACAAAAGAAGTTGGAGAAGAAGCAAATGAAAATGAAGCAAATCAAAGTGAAAGCCATGTAACGCCAGCTGAGAGAGCTGCATCTTGGTGCCACTTTTAAGCTCTGCATTGACAGGAACACAAGTACCGTTTCTCATCATAAAGTTCAGACACTCCAGTGGAATCCTTACCTTATTGTCTGTTCTACTTTTGGTTTTGGAGTATTGCAGAAGTTGTAGATACATTAGAAGGGCTCTGTTTCAGTAATTTTCTTCCAGAAAATCAAACTATTTTTATTATTTCTTAAGAGGAATGAGATATGTAATCTGTATAGTTTTAAAATATTTTTAAATTATAATATGAATCACCAGTGCTTTTAGTGCTTTGTGTTTGAAGAATATCATGAAATTTATAGTTAGGGTGTTAGCGTTTTGTTGAAACCTAGGCAGATAAATGGATATGAAGAATATTAAACCAAGATCCCACAAATAACTATTGATATTGCACAATAAATATGGCTTGGTATTTTCTTCTGTGTCTTACATTAAACTTGTAAAATAAGTGACATTTAGAACACTTTTTGTGGTATTGAAATTTCAGGGATTCAAACCATAATGTAGTACAGTATTTGTTTTGTAGGTGGGTGGTGCTAATACAAGTATTAATAAGATATCTGTAGGTTTTAGAATACAGATGGTCCCCAGGTTACAAATGAGATTCATTCCCAAGCGTATCTTTGAATAGAATTTTTGGTAAGTCAGACCCAGCATGTACACTTCTTACTTAGCCTTACATTTTTTTAGCATAAGATTCCCTGATGACGTTGTGTGTGTAACATGTCAGGCTGCTGACTAAAAGGTTAGCAGTTCAAATGCACCAGGGCTCCATGAGAGAGCAGTCTCTGTAAAGATGTGTAGCCCTGAAACCTCATGAAGAATCACCCACTATGAGTTGGAATCAACTTTACTGCAGCAAGTTTGGAGTTATAGTTTGGTGGAGAGTTTTTTGGTTTTTTTAAGTAGATTTGGGTTTTGTTGTTTATTTACTACAAGAAAGGAGCCATTGTGTATTGGACTGCTAACCCAGTTCACATCCACCAGTCACTACAAGAGGGAAAAAATGCACAGTCTCTTAAAGAGTGACAGCCTCAGAAACCTGAGGAGGAGTCACCGTGAGTCAGGAATGAATCCACAGCAGTCGGTTTGCCGGAGGAAATCTGGTAGCCCTGGTAGGTCAAGCTGCTAACCAAAAGGTTGGTATTTCAATCCCACCAGCTGCGCCTCAGAAGCGAGATGAGGCACTCTGCTGATGTGAAAAGACACCACTGTGGAAACCCAAGGGCACTTGCAAACCGTCTCTCCTTACAGGGTCACTGTGAGTCAGCATCTCCTTGATGGCCATGGGCTTTTTTAGTTTGTTCAAGGAAACTTTTCAGTTATTTAAAAGGTTTACAGTGCAGCAAGTGAAAGTCATTTTGATGTGAATTTTCTTGCAAGTAGGATTTAGTTTGATGTTTCCAAAGTAAGAGTAGGAGTTGTCTGTAAGTAAATTAGTGTTTTTGTAACTGGGGACTCACTGTTACATGTACATGGAAGATGCTAGAAATAGGTAGTATGAGAGTTTTCTCCTTTCCTGATGTCATGCACCAACAGTGTGAATGCTGTATTTTAGGTGGCTGTATGATTGGGTTTTTGTGTTGTATCTCCCCCTTGAATTAACAGATGCGTGGAAGACTAACTACTTCACCTAGGTCTCACGTGTCCTTGGCTGCTACAGTCTGGTGGATGCTCATGGAGAAGCTGTTCTCTGATTCATGCCTGTATCCCTTTGCTTCCCCTTCTGCTTTTATCTCTTCCACAGCTGAGGGTGGGGATAGTCCTTCAGAGAAATAGCTGTGAATATGCGTTAATAGACTTAAAACATAGCTTTCCTAGACTATTCAGAGTTCTCTCTGCCTCTTGAGGAAAGCACCCTGGGAGAGAAGTCCCATCTATCTGCACAAGCATTTGACTTGTTCAGATCTCTGCATTTTATAAATGCTTCCTACTAAGAAAGCATTTTGTAAGTCACTGCTGTATCAGGTAATTTTTGCTAGGGATGTAAAAGAGGGATTTTGGAGGGGATGGGGCAGGTAGGTTTTTTTTTGGTAGATGCTTTATGTGCAAGTGTGTTCTGAGGCAATAGCAATCAGTTGCTGTGGAAAACAGCATGTACTGCTGCCTTTGTAACTGCATGGAAACTTTTTACATGAGTGTTTATCTAGATTAATGCAGAAATGTGAATGTAATGTTATTTTTAACAGTTCATGAAATTAAGTTATTAGAAGAAAAATAACAAAATCTAATTACTTTAATGCTATATAATCCTAGAGTTAGCCTTATTTACAGACTTTTAAAATGCATTTTAGAAATCAAAAGTTGATATGCATAGCTATCTTTTCATTAATAAAAGCATTCTTAAAGTCCCATACATTTGGACCATGGCAGCTAATTTTGTAATTTTCGCATTCATATGACTACCGATGGATGTACATTAAATGAATTGACAAAATCTCTGAGTGCCGCCTTTGCTTTTCTGGGGTTGTCCTGAAAGATCAAGTACAAACCCATAAGAATGTTCAGCCTTCTGTTCAATAAAAGTCAGCACTGGGGGAATGTCTTTTTGTTTTCTTCCCAATTTAAGTGCTTTTCTTTAAAAAGACCTGGTCTTTAATATGCCCTTTTATTGCTTTCAGTTATCATTGTTAGAATGTTTTCTATCTTTAAAACCCCATGAGTTCCAGGCTCTTCTTTATAGCCTTTGACTGAGTTGAGACACCATTATTTATCTTGTGAATGAGAGGACACAGTGAAGAATGTAGTTTTCTGTCAGACTGGAAACTGCTAAGCCCTTCAGTACTATTGGCATTGTCTAGTGTTGCAGACCGAGGATCCCAAAGAATGGAATAATTTTATAATTATTAATAATGAGACAGACAGCCAGGAATGAGATAGAGCAGAGAGCATAAAACAGGGGGCCAGCAGCTCTTGACTGCTTGACCCCAAGCCAAGCTTCTCTGTATCTTTATTGAAAATTATCAGGAAGTAAATCACAGAGACAATTCAGTGCAAATGAAGCCAAGCTCTTTCTATTGAAAACCTTCTGCTTGACTCAGGAGGGAGGGGTTCACAAATGCAAGAATTTTGTTTACCCTTAAGGATTACCTTTATGCCTCAGGGTGAACTCTAGCTCAGGAAGTAACACTCCCTCTGTAGGGGGCCCCTTGCTGTCTCCTGTCTGCAGGGAACAAACAGCTCATTTTCTTGGATCTGCCACAAGAGAAATCCTGATTTATAAATCTGTAATTCCTTCAATTCCTGAACAAGGATTTTCATAAAATATTTGGTATAAAGTTTCGCTTCCCATATTTTCCCCTCTTTTGTTTTTATCATAATTATGTTATCATCTAGACTAGCATCTTCTCTTTGGTTTACTCTTGCTTGTTTTGGTTTTCTCCATCCTTCATATACAAACAAACAAATAAAACAGATTAAACATAATAAACTCAAAGAAATACTTTTAAAAACCACCATATGATCAGAAGGATTCACGTTGGATATTCCTTGAGAGTCTGTTTTAATTGGCCCATTGCCACAGTGCTTGTCAAAACCAGTTCTGATTAATCTCCTTTGTCCATGCGTCCTTTGCCATTCCCTATCACTCCTCCCTGAGAGAGATTTCACTCTGATATATAAGGAAAAGGGGGCGACATATTAGCTACTTCCTGCTGAAAAGGGATGCTGTAGGTTTCAGGGTGAAGATCTCTCACTACTCTAAAGGGCCCCTTTGGCAATAGGAAACATGCAGACTATTGTGGAGATTGATTTTGGAATTTATATGCACTGTTATCAATTGTTCTTATCCACATTCATATCCTTGGAGATGCATCACGGAACTGTTGTAGCCTAGAAGACACAGATTTAACAAGTTAAAAGTACGTGAACCAAAAATTAAAAGCAATAATATTCCAACTAGAGGTTCTAACAATGACACAAGTCAAGTTACAAAGGGAAGATAATCCTTAAAATAAAAGTCTTATTGGCTGGCACTTTGTCTACTATAGTGAAAGGGCTAGGAACCACAAGATGTAGAGTCACAACTATGTCATTTATTGTTCTTTAGTCCTGGAGCAGCTTCCATTTACCATTGGATTGTTTTACAGCTAAGAAGGCCACATGCAAGGCAGAGGTGAAGTAAGGAACTGCTTAGGTTTTCTGTCAATTCCAACAACTAAGGAAGAGATGGGACCCAAGAAGGCTTTTAAGGCCGAATATAGGCTCATGTGTCCAGGAGAAAACAGATATACTTACCAGCAATGTTAATGGCTCCTCTGGGAGGATCTGAGTCGTTGGAGCGTCCTCCTTTGTTTCCAGCTGGAAGCCGGGGCCTATCAGTCCTGTCAGCTATGAGGACCTGATTTGGGCTGCCCTTGGCCAAGTGTCCTTCAGATCCACACTTAAAGCAAGTGAGTGGGAGCTTCCTCTACTCCCTTGCCTATCAGTGGCTCTTGTCTATGATACTATTTACTGAAGTGGCCCAGCTTTCCACAGTGGAAGCAATTCTCACCTCCTTTATTACCTTTGGGTGGCATTGTTTATGAGTAAGACTTCCTTTTCTTGACACAGGCCCTAAAACTGGCAGCAATAAGCTGCCCCAATAATTTTGGCCATTCTCTGGTCTTTTCCCTTTAGATCCCAGTTGTTAAAATAGGAGAAAATTTAAACAAATAATTTTGAACAATATAATTTTTTAAGTTTTAAGGCTAGTAACATTATCAATATAATTGTACAATAATTTCCAATCCAAAGAGATACATATTCCAATGCAGTTCCTATTTTTCATAAATTATTTTGGTAAGAATACTGTAAATGTGGATACAGTTTCATTACTTCTCCTCCATGCCATGACATAGTGTTATTAGCATGAGCAGTTATAAATCCATTGCCTTCCTTACTCTAACTTGAATTTTTTATGTTTCTGTGCTGATGAGTGGAACCAACAAGGCTCCAATTAATGACGCTTCCATAGGAAGTATTAATTAAAA